AGTGGTCTATACGTTGTAGTTTTCAAGTGTCCCGAACATTTCTAGCGCACACAGCAAAGAAAACTGCGTTGAGCCAAATTAACTCTTTTCAACCAATTTTTTTATTTTTATTTGTTAAAGTCGTCTTTGAGCTGAGAACTATTCTCAAGAATATTTTTCTTTGCAAACCGGAATTCTGAACAACTTTTACGCTCGCAACTTTGCTTCAAAATACGTTCTTGTTTATGTCACATAAATTCCAGCTGCGTTATGAACTTTTAAAGTCAGACTCTTTAAAACTTTAAAAGCTTTTAAGAAATTCAAAAGTTGCATCTACACTGAGCTTTGAGCATAACTAAATAGATCACGTGAAAATACCTGGGTTGAAATACAGCTATAATGTTAATGAGTACATGCACATACTTTGCTTGTTTTTACCGGTACCGACCGTCGGAACCGTGCGTTTTTCCGGTTAATTGTGACACTAACTGTTATTTTGTCTGTTGTGTTGCTATAGTTTCAGCTGAAATAACTGTGGTTAACCGCCAGTTTTCGTCCGGTTTCGACTACATGAGTAGTTTCCTTTTTTTCTAAGGTACAAACTATTCGAGGTTCTGTTGATAAAGCCTTATAGCACAGAACCTATGAAGTCAGAAAATACGGATTAAGTGTGCGGATTACATTATAAAATTGAAAACAGGAACACTTGATTTCCAGGTATATCGACACAAAATAAAAATGAAAAATAAATATTTTTCTTCGTATTCTTGTTCTAGATAAGGTTAGATTAATAAACCCTGTTAACAATTTTGAAACGTTGTATTAACAACACTGAAACGTTGCACACGATTATTGTCAAGATCCACGACATAGAAATAAAGTTTTGATCAAATCTCAATCCTTGCGGATGTCGCAATAAATTCGGTGCCGTATCAGGAATACCATCAGCAGATCCTGCAATTGTAATGCCTACAATAGCACCAAAATAGAATATTTGTATTCTACTATTGTAAGTGTCGCATATAAATCTGGTACCATTTAAACGTAGTCTTAGAAGGTAGAGAGAAAGGGTATAGTGAATATCTTCTCCTAACCATAAGTTTCTAGACATTCGTCATAGAATACACTCGATAGTATGATATGATATATGTGCACACTTATACAGTTAGCGTTTCTCTTTTGTATCTCAAATACATGTACGACAGCGAGGGGCTTTACAAATTCAACAGCGACCGCTTTTCGTAAAATGCTGAAGTTTTTACAGCAATCTACCCGAGAACATGATGAGTATGCAGTGCGAAGACACACTTCTGTAAGTTCCTCAGTTCAGTGGTTTGTGTCTTGGTCTCATACTTCATACTCGCCAAGCGTCTCAGGTTCGATTGCTGGAGGAGTTGTTCTATTTTTCTTTCCTTTCAAAGTGGGCGGTTTTACTTGCACAGTTTTACCTGCACGGTTTTTCTAATAGTTTTAAAACAGTCAAAGCAAAACTGTCATATAGGAACCATAGGAAACAAAAGCATGAACAACTAAAACCGGGAACAAAAACCACGCCAAACTGACTGCGAGAAACCGCGTATAAAAACCGCCATGAGTTTCACGGTTTTTTTCCCCGTGTACTCTATTTTATTTTCTCCCTCTGGTCTGTATTTAAGATTGGTTATAGGACATGTCCCTACTTGGAAAGATTTCGAGAAAACTAAAATGTTTTCTGTTGACTTTTAAAACTGTTAGTGAACACCAAGTTGTCTTCCACATGAATTAGGATATATCGTTTGTGTATCAAACCTTATTCTGAAAAGAGTTTTCTGAATTAGTTTCAGTTCTGTAAAACGATTTTTTACACCAAGGCTCACCCACATCCCCATTTTTCGAATATAGGATATCCACCCCAAACGAAAAATTATGCTCTAAATTTAGATGAATACCAGCGATCAGTCCTAAACAAAGGATCCGGTTATGCCCATCCAAACCCGACAACAGTATTAAAGCGCCTCCCAGAAGAGATCGAAACAATGAGAGGAAAATTACAGGTAAAATTCAATGAAAATATCAAAGCGCGCAATATCCCAAGACCCGCAATTGACGAATTCGTCAAAAAAGTACACGACTATTAGAGGGGTTGGTACTTGATTCCAAGCCGATGAATCAACTGTGTGCTCTTTGTAAAATTTATTAAAATAATATATATAACCGAAACATACGAAAAGAAAACACACACTCTCTAAAATACATGTAATCGAACTGCAGATATCAAAACCGCTCTTAACAACAATAATAATCCTCACGAACCGAAAAGACATATATATATATATTAGAGAGACGAAAAGAGATCACAAAGAAAAGAATAACGAAAAGATATCACAAAGAAAAGAATAACGAAAAGATATCACAAAGAAAAGAATAACGAAAAGATATCACAAAGAAAAGAATGGAACGAAATAGATAAACGTGATAAACACTGATATAGCGAAAAGATAAAGAATAGAAGAATGACCTGTACATATAGAGAACATGTGAAGGCCACGAGGCCTGTAACAATGATAACAAAAATAACGATCAATTTGATCATATTCATTCACCAATTACACTTTGTTTACTTCATATGATAATTCATAGTGTTACATGTTTTAATTGATTTCATATATATAAAATATCAAAACATGAATGAACATGAAGAATAGAAGAATGACCTGTACATATAGAGAACATGTGAAGGCCACGAGGCCTGTAACAGTCCTCCCTACAACGAAAAAGTTTGTCCTCAAACAACAAAATGAAAAAAAAACTAGAGAAAACGTGTTTAATGAAATAGGAATATTTTCCTTCTTGTAACAAAGACACAAAAATGACGAGAACACAAAAAAATCAGCAAAAAGTGCTGTGTTTTATAAGAATAACAACGAGTATTAACTGTAAGCAAAAAGAAAAACAAACAAAATGAGAAAAAGTTAAAGCTAATACTGACTAAAATCTGACTGAAATATGAATGTTGAGCAATAAGTTTACGCATATAAACGTCTATAATGTTGTTCCGTGAACATACGCTCATGTAACATTTGTTCTACCTGTTCCTGTACGTGTTCGTCTTTAAGCCCAATAAAAAGTGTATGTGAAACAATATTAAAATTAGTATAATTAATATTCATTGATCTTAATATACGTTTAATTTTGCTAATATTGAATAGATGATAAATGTGTCGAATTACTTCGTGACGATATCGTTTTGCTCGTCGTTGAGTATTATACTTACGATTTCGCTTTTGTTGATCTGATTTATTGCGATGTTGAGTAATACAAACGGTACGTGACGATGTGGGACAGTTCGATGATGTTAAATGATGTGATGACGAAGACGATGATGAGGGTGGTAGTGGTTCATCATCGCTCAATATTAATTCATATTGTGATGATGTTAATTGTGGTTGTTGTAGAAGCGGAATCGGTGGTTCATTTCGTACATAAACTACCGATTGTTGTTGATCATTATTATCAGATATCGTTGCTAATTCTGACGGTGGTTCATTTCGTACATGAACTACCGTCTCTTCATCATCGGATATTGCTTCTAATTCCATTAGTTGTGGTGGTTGTAATGATAATACTAATGACATCATGGATGCTTCATAATCGTTGACTTGCTGTAGTGACCAACTATACAATACCGGAAAAATGAGTTTTGTCACAGCAAAACAGTCATTTAATGCATAACGTTCTAATAATGGGCGAATTTCTTTTGCACCTCTAATGTATTGTTCACGATCACGACCGACTAAGCCCGTTGGTATATAGGTTTCTAATGCTAGATCAATACCACAGGACCATTCGCTCAATGTCATCCGTTCATCCAACCATTGATTGAATACATGATAAATGGCGAATTGCAATGAATATTTATCATTTGGTGCATATTTATGATCCGGGGTCCTTGGATAAACACGATTGTACCATCCTTTAAAGTCATCCTGTATATTATACATAACTGAATGATCAACGCTATCGAATAGATTGAACTGTCGGAATTTGGATAATTCATCCAATGCATCTACCCACGAATACCAACGGTTAGTTGATGCATATATAATTGAACACAGTTGTTTAATTTTAATGAATTCTGGTGATGTTTGTGGCGGTAGATGTTGCACTTCAATAATGATGACAATGGATGGACGATTGACATGGACAAATTCGATTTGGATCAATGCTGGGTGCTGTGTTTTTATATCGTTTTCGGTATCGATAGTAAAATCGATTGTTTGCCGTGCTTGATCAATTAATTCATCTAACGTATTCAGTTCCGTTTCGTGGTGAATACAATAATGTGAATATGATGGTTGTTGGAATTTTTTACATTTTCCCTGTTCACATAATTTTTGATAATGGTTGTTTCGGTCCACGTTTTTTGGTGTATACCTCTTATTACGTGCATCTAATTCTTGTAATGGTGACCGATAAAGTTGTGGACGAGGACGACGATTATAGTTATAATTAGACATCTAAAATTGTTATCGTTAAGATTATCGCTGAGGGACCTGACGATTATAATGACTATCAGCCCCATGAAAAACGAAGATAAATAGCTAACTATCAGGTCTCAACAAAGGAAAATCCTAGGTCAAGTCCTTTATATCAGATGGCAGTATATCCATGAACTTCCACATGGGATGTTCATCTAAAAAAATAAAGAAGTAAAATAAGGAGTATACTAGTAATTATCAGTGAATCTTGTCAATGACCATTGATGATTGTCAAATTCCTTGCCTAACGCATTGTCAGCAATATGTCAATCGTTATTGAATTATATCACGAATCTACTATGGTTGACGTTGAAATAATGACCGCGGATCATCATCTCTGTCGTTCATATATGAGTGGTATTTACAATAGAAATGCTCTTGTTATTATCAATACATCAATATGAAACAACGAATTAACAGCCCCTCATCGCCAATGTGAAGGGAAAATCTATCACCTCAACGTGCATTGCTGAATTAATCAGTGTAGGAATAATAATGATAATGATAATAACCGCATTCCTTACAATTGATCGCTGATCATAATTAATTTGTTGAGTATGTTCGTTCGAATAATGGTACGATTGAATCGGTGGTGATTTGTTTGATTAATGTTAGCTTTTTAACATGTTGAACGATAAATGTTTTTCGACCGATTTGCTGGACGATTTGAAATGGTCCTTCATGTCTAATATCGAATTTATTCCGACTACTAATTGTTTTGACTAATACTAAATTGCCAACCTTGTGTTTTGGATCGGATCGATGAGTATCATATCGTTGCTTATACTTTTGTTGTTGCTGAATAATATTTCGCTTGGCCCCTTCGGTAATTGTCGATAAATATTGATTTAATTTTTGAACGTGTTGTGGATCTTTTGAAAGCGAGACGACTGGTTGTTGATGATCAAATGGTAATACGGGTGAACGTCCATACATCATTTCAAATGGTATTTGTCCGGTTGTTGTGTGGATACTGGTATTATAATTGAATGAAACAAATGGTAACTGTTCATCCCAATCGGTTCGTTTTTCATTACATAATGCTGCTATTTTAGCATCCATCGTTGCGTTATATCGTTCGATTTGTCCATTTGTCATCGGGTGGTACGGTGTAGAATATAAATGTGTAACTCCAATTTGCTTAAATAATTCTTCGATTATATTCGCTGTAAAATGTGTGCCGTTGTCGGGTATAATACATCTTGGTGTGCCATATTTTAATATAACTTCGTCCTTAATGAATCGTGCGGCAGTAGATGCAGAACAATCCCGAACAGCTTTCGTAATCACGAATTACATCAGTTAATACATCAGTTAATGAAATAATATATTTATTACCACGTTGTGTTATTGATGTAATTGGTCCATGAAAATCCATTGACAATAATTGCCAAACACCTTCGGGCGGTCTGATTGGTTTTAATGAACCAGGTGATTTTCGGCGTAGGTGGTTATTCTGTAAACATGGTATGCACGATTGGATATGGTTACGAATGTCTTTAACCATGCTTGGCCAAAAATATCGGTGTTGAATTTTTCTTGTTGTTTTATCACGACCAAAATGTGCACCGTTTGCTGCTGTATCGTGATATATTTTTAAAATATCGACACGTATTCGACCTTTTGGAACATATGGAACTGATGGGATCGGATGTTGTTGTTTCCGCATAAGAATTCCGTCATCAATGAAATAATGTTTGAAATTTTTAATATTATTTTTAATATGTTCTACTTGATCGTCTCGATCTTGTTGTCGTTTAATATCATCTAAGGTGAATGGAATGATTTGAGTGTCATCGATTATTTGTTGATAGTTTTGTGCAACACAGGCCCGATCCACTGGTATAGGGACGTTCCTATTCTGTTGCTGTGCCACGCAGGACTGATCCGTTAACGGACGGACATTCCTCTTATCATCTTGTGTTTTTTGTTTGGCTTGTGCTTGAGTAACCACGGGTGCTACGATGTACGGTGACGATATTGGATCTTCGGTTTGTGTTGATCGAGATTGCATAGAGACGTAATCGTCTTGATCTTCTGTTGCATCGTCAACTGGTGAACGTGATAAGTAATCTGCCATTGTATTATATTTGCCTTTAATATAACGTATGGTGAATTGATATCGTTGCAACTTTAAACGCCAACGTTCGCATTTCATATTAAGTTGCTGTTTTAAATTCAATGGTTCTAATGGTTTATGATCCGTTTCTACTGTAAAAGGACGACCATCGAGATATTTATGCCACTTTTCAATTGCTGATATAATAGCATAACATTCGATTTCCGTTGCAGGCCATTTCATCTGTGTTGAGGATAGTTTTTTGGACAAATACGCAACTGGAAGATCACCATTTGAATAAGTCTGCATTAAAACAGCTCCAATACCAAGCTTTGATGCATCCGTCTGTATTTTGAATGGTAATTGATCATTTGGAATACGTAATGCTAAATCGCTGGTTAATATTCGTTTTAATTCAATAAACGCTTGTTGTTCTTCATTGGATAATGTGATGGGTGTTGATTGTGATCGTCTTGAATGTTGTTGTTTGGTCGTTGGAGCATATTTATATAATGGTTGTGCTATTTTTGAGAATCCCGATATGAACTTACGATAATATTCTGCTGCCTTCACAAATCTAAAGGCTTCTTTTGCTGTTGTTGGTTGTGGTGTATTCAATAAGGCACGTATGTTATCGGCATTAGGCATAATGTTACCGTGCTCAATATGATGTCCAAGATAATCGATGGCTTGTTGTGCAATATTACATTTATCAACATTAAGACGAAAATTTGCTTGATTGAGACGATTGAGAATATCATCCAAATGTAACAGATGATCCTCAAATGTTTGAGAATAAATGATAATATCATCCAAATATGCTAATGCATATTTCCATCGAGTCGGTCCTAATATCTGGTTGACGATTCTTTGAAATGTAGGTGGTCCATTGGTAACGCCTTGAGGCAAAACGGTGAATTGAAGATGTTGATCTCTGGTGGAAAATGCTGTTTTTGGACGATCTTTAGGGTCGAGAGGAACTTGAAAATAACCTGATTTGAAATCAATGATGGTAAAATATTCGGCATCTGATAGAAATGTGATCAAAAATGTCATCAATGCGTGGAATCGGGAATGCATCCTTTTTTGTGATATTATTTAATTTTCTAAAATCAACACAAAATCTGGTTGAACCGTCTTTTTTGCGAACGAGAACAATCGATGATGACCATGGCGATATGGATTCCTCTATTATACCTTGTTTAAGTAATTTATCAATTTCTTCTCGTTGTATTTGTTCATCCTTCCATGAATGTCGATATGGTGGTGTGTATATAGGTGGATGATTACTGGTGTCAATAGCATGACGTAATGTTGTTTTTATTACTGACGGTTGACGGAAATCGAATAATTTCCCATGCTTCCATAAAATATCTTGTAGTTGCTGTCGATGTTTCGGATTCTCGATATGTTTTGTTAAATTTTCAATTTGCTGACGGATTTCTGATGGAAAGCATTTTTGACGTAGGTGCTGTTGTAGATCATTACCAGTTAAATATTTTTCATGACAAACATAACATTCATAGTGGCAGTCATAGGTTTGTCTTGCTCTACAGGAAGGATCCGTAAAACGGACTTTCCTCTTCTGGAATACTGGCAAGACACAGGATCGATTAGCCAAAACACGAGCGCTCCTTTCATTTGGTGTTGCGGGTATCGTAAGACAGATATTACATCCTGACTGATATGAAATTACACCTAGTTTTGTATTCTTTGACAATGTAAATTGGCGATTGTTGGCATTAATAATTACAATTCGTGTTTGACTATTGTTAACATTAAGTACTGCTTTTGCAGTCAGAATTGATTTGGAATATAAGTTACCGATAGGTTCAAACATAACATTATTAATATTACCAAAAAGTGATGGTACTTGTACGTCGATGTATCGCTCAGAATACGAAGGAATAGTGACTTGATTGATTAAAAATACTGGATAATGAAGGTCAGGGGGTTCGACGAATGATGTTGATGTTATTATTCGGAAATATTTATTCACGATGATAATACGTCGTTGTGGTGTATCAATGACGATGTTGTTTTGCTCTATCCAATCATTGCCAAGCAATAAATCTGTAACGAGGTTCGTTGCAACATCGGCATTTATATATGTTCTATATCCGTGGATTTTAACTTCTAGTTGAATTTCGCTGACAATATTGACAGATGTACAATTAGCTGCTGAATAAGATTTTCGTTTATAAATGAATTTTTTATGATGAATTTTCGTCAATAATCTTTGATTTATAATGGTGACAGCGGATTCCGTATCGACGATCGCATGTTGCGGTGTTGCATTCACTTGGACTTGGATATAGATTGGACTCGACGATAACGATGACACTGTTGATGGATTTTGTATACTGGGATCACTACCATCACGGGACCCAGTTAGGGGAAAACCGGCGGGCAATCCCGTACACAATGATCGGGTTGACCACATTTATAACAACCACTGGGTTTTTTATAATAACAATCTATTGTTCGATGATTAATACGAGCACATATGAGACAAGGATCGTATTGATTCGGTTTAGGTAATGATGAATTCAACGGTTGTTGTGGATTTTTAAGTAAAAACGATGGACGTGGTTGCGGATTTCCTTGTTGACGCGAAGTCGGTGTACGTTGATTTGGTAGGTATCGTGGATTCTTGTACTGAAGATATGGATTCGTCGGTTGCGGAATATTTTGAAATTGATATGGTGTCGCTTGTAAGGCTGTTGTGATCGATTTTACGAAATACGGTTGTGCTGCTGGTTCAGAATACTGACGACGTTTACGTACTTCTTCCACGGTTTTTGCAATTTGTAGAAATTTTATTGTTGTTTTATCTGATTCGGATAATACGCTCATTTGTAACATCGTTTGTTCTTGTAAATCATCTCTCAACCCATCCTCCAAGTAACCAATGATCATAGAATCTGTCATCTGTGGATCAATTTCCCGACATAATCGGATAATATCGTCATAATATTTTGTAACGGGTTCGTCTAATTGTTGTTTTCGTTCACGCAATTCAGTTTTTATTGATGATGTTGTTCGTTTAAAACGTTGGATCATTTCTTGTTGTAATGTACTCCATGTTTTAATTGCTGATTTATTATCAATGTACCATTGTCGTGCAGACCCTGTTAGTTTAGATATTGCCATTAAAAATAACGTTGTATCGATTTGATTTGTCATTTCTCCAATAGCTTTAATTTCATTTAAAAAATTATGGACAGTCTCCGACTCATCACCGGCAAATTCCACATTCTTCATCATATCTCTGTGACACTGTTGTACAATTGGATCTGGTGGATCACTCATTGCTGTATTTTGTGGCTGAGTAGGTGGAGGCGGTCTGGATTGTCGGATCGATTTACACAATAATCGTTCTGAACTGTTGGTGAGTATGTGGTGTGATAAAAGTGGTTTATTATCGTTTTTCAAACTACTCCTGGTACCTTCAGCCGTGGTTTGTTTGTGATAATAACGAATTAATGCGGATTACGGATGGAGATGATAGTTGACCTGCGGGTCTATAGAGTTGTTTGATCGAATGGATTTATCACTTTTTAGTGCATCCAGAGAATATCCTGATTAGGAACTCTCTCTCTTTGATGTGATACGACGATACAGGTTATTCCCTAATGGGAACTTCCTTTTAACGATGCGATTATTTCTTCGATTGACCGGTATATCGAACGATTACGGTAGCGGCGATGTATTACGATAATAACGTAGTGCCACGAGCAAGTTTCCTAAAATAATCAGTTAGCGGACTTACCGATATTGTGTAATGTAGAAAAATAATACTTTATAACACAATTAATTATTATTATATTTTTTTTTTTTAAAGTACAATATGATTATTCGAATAGTATAGTGATATAAAAACATCTGATTCAACTCGGTCACGGCACCAAATATTAGAGGGGTTGGTACTTGATTCCAAGCCGATGAATCAACTGTGTGCTCTTTGTAAAATTTATTAAAATAATATATATAACCGAAACATACGAAAAGAAAACACACACTCTCTAAAATACATGTAATCGAACTGCAGATATCAAAACCGCTCTTAACAACAATAATAATCCTCACGAACCGAAAAGACATATATATATATATTAGAGAGACGAAAAGAGATCACAAAGAAAAGAATAACGAAAAGATATCACAAAGAAAAGAATAACGAAAAGATATCACAAAGAAAAGAATAACGAAAAGATATCACAAAGAAAAGAATGGAACGAAATAGATAAACGTGATAAACACTGATATAGCGAAAAGATAAAGAATAGAAGAATGACCTGTACATATAGAGAACATGTGAAGGCCACGAGGCCTGTAACAATGATAACAAAAATAACGATCAATTTGATCATATTCATTCACCAATTACACTTTGTTTACTTCATATGATAATTCATAGTGTTACATGTTTTAATTGATTTCATATATATAAAATATCAAAACATGAATGAACATGAAGAATAGAAGAATGACCTGTACATATAGAGAACATGTGAAGGCCACGAGGCCTGTAACAACGACGAACTGAGACAAGAAATTATAAAGCAACCAATAGACAAGATGTTCGATGCCACAATCGTCGACTTCCAGAAGCAACAGAAAGACAAAAACGTAGTCTTTCGCAAGACAGACAAGTCAAAAATTTTTCATTTAGACCGACCAGAAAATTATGAGAAAAAATCAGAGGAATACATGCAGAAGACAAATGCATACGATGAGATTGCATATAATCCGATAGATCAGATGATTCAAAACACTGATCAGATGTTAAGACACCTCCTCACGAGCAAGCAGATAACACAAAAGCAATACGAACTCTTAAAACCTACACCAGAAGATTGTGAACTACCTCATCTCTATTATAATCCGAAAGATCATAAAATCGGAGAATCTCTGCGTCCAATAGTGAGCGGAATGAAACGCCCTCAACGATACAGACCATTTCAGCATAATAAAGGTAAGTTCGTGAGACGCACATATGCCGAGGTGCTAGCTCGTCAAGAGCAACCACCGCTACTCATGCACATCAATCCATATGACATACTATATGAAGACCCGGCACCCGAACCAGAGTATTACGAAGAATACCAGCAACCGCAAAAGGTAAGGCAAAAAAATAATCGACCACAGGAACAACGGCGAAAGCAACAACCAATAGCGGCCAACGACTACTTCCCGGCTAATACAATAATAGAAACCGATGACCTTTCGCCGATCAATGGTCATCATGAACAACCACCACAGGAAACCCCAGTCGGGCAAGCACAGGCTTCTCGTATTTTGCGCCCTATTCACATCATTCTCTCCTCATCGATGGCCTCTCGTATACGGACATTACAACTCTATAATCGAAATAACCATGTTCGCATAAAATCAATTTCAGGTCACACAATATATAAATATCAAGTAGAAATTTCCAGTGGACAGTACAGGTATTTGTTATACGACACTGCAAGTCTGACATTTGTAGTAGGCACAAATGACATCGCATGGGACGATGCAAATACAGTAATCGATCGTATAAAAACACTCATAGAAACGACAAAACGACTTTATCCCAATATAAAGCGTATTTCATTTGTAAAAATTCAATATCGTACAAAAACCACATCATTCTACAATCACTCCGTAACAACAATGAATAAAGAAATAGAGCTGTTAAACCAAAAAATGGAGTCACTATCAAAAATATTAGATTTTGATGTTCTTGACTTCAAATTCAACCAAAACACTCTAGGAGACGGCTTACACCCGAACTTTCATGGTCGTCAACAAATGGTGCTTACATTTCTCCGATATTTCGAGAAACTTGTCCTGGCACTCCAAAAACAAAATTCGATTGACCCTTTTTCACTTGATTTTACAGAAAATACAGACAAAGTAATACCGAAAGATTTTGTAATAGAGAACTCACTCAAAAACATCCCAGATTTTTTGCAAAACATAGACTTGAGCGTCTTATATGACACACAAAAACTTTATCCTCTAAAAGAATATTTCTCACTAAAAGCAGACTTATGGAGCGCATATTACGATGCTGCTAACCCTATCGAACATGAAGGGTTTTGCGGGTACCGTTGTCTTTGGATAACAGGCGGGGGTGGTGGTGCATACCTGTTAATATTTGTGTATGAATTAAAATTTGATGCAGTGCCGGTTTGAAAACGTGTTTTTTCTACTCGTGGTGGTGGCCGGCGATTCGAATTATAATATGTTCGTTGCCGAATCGGTTCCTGTCGTTCATTGTATCGACGCTCTTCTTGTGGTATTTGGTTAAAATAGTAATTAGTGGTCCGTCGTTGCGGTAACGGTTTTGATGGGTGTTCCGGTGGTTTTCCAAAGGTCGATGTTGTAACTTTAGGTGCGGCATCTAAAGGGGTGTTACTTGCCGTTAGCTGTCGTGCATGCTCCGGTAGCATCCAGTTTGGCGGCTTAATTGTAATAGACGATTTCGTAATGTTGGGCTCTATCGGTGCTTGTCGTTTCTTTGTTTGTTGTGGTTGAACATTTTCTTGCTGTTTTGGTAGCGATAAGATTGGTGAGGGTGGAAACTGAAAATCTGGTTCTCCGTCGTTGTTGTGCTTACATTTCTTCATCGGGCTGCAAGCTACAATTTCTGATACTGCGAACTGAATTCGACCTTGTACTCGATCTTTACGAAGCGATGTCATTGTTTTATATTGATGCAAACGATTTGTCGGTGGTGAGGGAGATGTAGTTAAGTTTGTTTCTTCTTGTCCTTGTCGTGCCGGTGTAATATAGCAAATATAATTATTATTAATATTTGGGTTGATATTATCGATGATTGGAGTAGATGCTGCAATTGTTGCAGTTACTTCTATCTCATCGTCTGAATTAGATTTATCTGCGATCGTGTTTTCCTGATCCATTATTATTATGGTTTTTAGTTGGTTCTCCAGGAGCTATAAGTGGTTATCGCTCAAATTGAGAGTGAGGGTGATTGAAATTACAGATGCGGAGTAACCAACAGTATGTAACAGGTCAGACTGCCGTATGTTGAAATGCTTGAAGTAACTTCAGTATGTTACTGAATAGATGAAGATCTTTTTGTTAATTTTTGAATGGTATAATTTTGAAAGTTTTTATTTTTAAAATGGAAAGTAGAAAAGTGACAAAAAACTGGCTAGTATGAACGCGTTTCGAATATTCTTTTTCAACAAACTAGCGTATGATGAAAATGTAGTGGTATATATTCTCTCCATTCCGGAACTTCTCTTTCCCCACTACCCACAGGAATTTTCACAGCAGATATCCTTTGTCCTATTATTATTCGAACCTTAACATCAGACTTAACAAAATTCGAGAATTTCCTATCACACGACAACTTTAACGAGATTTTCTCTCTTCTCACGAGGATTTCTGCCTGGTGTAACAGGAATTTCTCTTCTTCAACGAAAACTTCTCTTCTCCCTCGCGAATTTCTCTCATCTAACGAGAACTTCTTCCTATTCACAGGAATTTCTCTAATGATCAAACCACCAAACTAACACTGCACGGGAATTTCTCTCTTTCCACAGGAACGTCTCTCTTCGCACGAGAATTTCTCTCCTGCCTAACAGAAAGTTCTCTCATCTAACGAGAATTCCTTCTCATTCATAAGAATTTCTCTAATGATCAAACCAAGAAAGTCAGACTCCACGAGAATTTCTTTCCTTCCACGCGAGAATTTCTCTCTTCTCGCACGAGAATTTCTCTCTTGGATGACAGGGGTTCTCTCATCTAGCGAGAATTTCTTGTCATTCACAGGAATGTGATTTCTTCAGTAAAAAGTTTCTCGTTGATGCTCTGAAAAATATTTATCGCAGTTTCTGTTATCGATATCTCAGTTCTGAACATCGATTGTTGTAATTGTCTGGACCAATATTTCTGAATGTGATCAATCGGTGTCCATTTGATTTGATTTTGACTCTGTAACTCGTTTAATTCTTGTTGAAGTTGATTGTCATTCGTTCGTAAGTAATAGAATTTTTCAAATTCTTTGTATTCCTCAATTGAGAAAGACTTTGATTTCATTTTGAATATTTTCATTGACGAATTCAATCGCTCAATGGCTTTATCGATTGTTTCTTGTTTGCTTTTCGGTTGATATTCATATAATCTCCAACTGAAATGTTTGAATATGTTGGTGAAACTTTGAAAAAATTGATTGAAAACAGGTTCGTGTTTGAAGTGATCGATGGAGAATTCGAATAAAATTTACAATTCATTCAGAATCAAATCACTATTTGCATTTGTATAGTTAGTCTTCAAGAGATTTGAAACTGCGGCTTCGATTTCTGGTGTCAGTTGAACAGGCACAACGACTTTGTCGCGTAATTTTTCATTAATTTTCTCATTCAGATTTTGGTGAATCTGATTAGTAAATTATTTTTTATTGGAATTCGTTTGGAGCTGTTTGATTTCGATGAACAAATCATTGCGAATCTCTTGAGGATTTTCATTGGATAATTTTAATAATTTTTCAATGTTTATATGTAAATAGATTTTTTCTCGTTCTTTGTTTAATAAATCGCTCATGGATATATTTGACCAAAATAAATCGAGAATTTTTTGAATTAAATTATTCGAATATTTTCTTTTCTCTTCGTATCTGTTCAACTCCTGATTGTATTTCATCATTGCTTCAGTTTCGATTCGTTCGACAAGAAAATTTAAATAATCTTTTTTTATCGAAGGAGATTTTTCCTTCGTTTTCACCTTTATTTCAATATTAGCTAAGAAATTCAAATCGAATTGTTGAAGGTCCATTCGCAGATTTAATAAGATTTTCTTCATTATCGATTGATAATGCAATGGTTGTTGTCTGAAAACATTGTCTAGTAAATATAATATCAAATCGTTATTGATCGTCTGGTGTCGAGTCAAGTAATCATTGAAATTAATGCATAGATTCTTCATCGGAGAATGTTGATCAAAATCAATATTTTCAACGAAAATTCGGCTTTTAAATTGTAAAATTTTCAACTGATTTTCGAATGTTTGAAGACAAATCAATGGTCGTTTGAGCATGGCTTTATTTAACTGTTGATAACACTCAAGGAGATCCTTGATTTCAAATTCATTGCGTTCGAATATCGTTTGAATTCTTTCAGCAATTTGGTTCAGCTGATTCTTTTCCAATTTTATCGACTGATCATTATTAGTTAAGTATTTCCATATAATATGTAAAATTCCATTTTTTTGTTTAACATCGAACATCAGACAAGTGAAATCAAGTTTGATCTTGTCGATTAAATGATTATATTGTTCGGTGATTAAGAAACCAAATTGCTGAAATAGCTCTTTTAATTCATTGCTCTTGATCCGCTCGAATTGACTTCGATAATATTCATCGAATAAAATAAAATATCACAACTGAGATTGGAATTTTTGAAAATGATTTCGAATGAACTCAAATAATCTTTGGCAATGTCAGTTGGCATTTGGTTGATATTGTTTATAATTCGTTTGAAAAAGACTTCAATGAAAATTAGTTCATCGAATAAGAATTCATTCTGATAAATCGAGCCCTTTTTCGATTTAATCAATGAATAGATTTGATCATCGTCATCTCTTTGTTTGAGTAAATCGAATAGAACTTTGTTGTCATTTTCATCGATTATGAAAGAGTCGATTTGATTGCCAATTAATGTTCGATATTTAATCGTAAATTCATTAGAATTATTGGATTGAGCAAATAGAATTTCATTTCGAAAATGATCGTGCGTTTTCAATTTATCATTGGACACTAATTTTAACGAACATTTTTCTAAATGTTCATAATTTCTTTTCAATTCGTTCAGTATCTCTTCTATATAATCGATATTTGCTTTAGAATTAATATTCTTAAGACCACTGATTTCAATCAATGAACATTTTTCTAAATAATCAATCAATCGATCAGATGCTTCCATGAAATCATTCAAATTAACATTGTATTTCTCTTCCTGATACCAATCGAATTCTTTTTTCATGTGAAATTCGTTAACGAATGTTATCAATCGATGATAGAGTTCATATCGAGTAATAGTACTCAATCGATTGAATGTTTGATTGTAGAATTCATCGATTGAAGTAAGTAATTGAATACAACGATTGAAAATGAAATGTTTGAATACTAATCGAGTTCGTTGTTGTAGATCTTTAATATCGATGTCACATGAGAACAATTCGATCTGATCTAAAATCTCGTCTTTTCGATGATTGAATATTTTCGTTAATTGATGGAGACAATATGTTTTGAGAAGTTGAGTATTTTTCAAAGTTAATTCGTAGAGAATGATTTTTTCAAGATCGGTATTTTTCTTCAAATTTCTTGATAAATCTTTGGAAAAATCTTCGATTGAATTGGGACAATCATCGTCAAGAATTTTCATCGATAAATTATCGAATGCCGATAAACATTGATAGAAATGAACACATGCATTTTTCGATAATAAATTTGCAATACATTTCTGCAAAGATTGATTAATCGGTTTGATGATAGTCAAAGTGAACTGATCAGAAAATTCATTTTTGATTTTCAACATTGTTTGAATGTTATCGAAAATCAGAGAGATTCTTAACTGACCAGAATTCAGGTAGATAAGAGTTTAATACTGAACGTATTTCGTCTGGTGAATATTTGTACAATTCTTCAGGTAACATTTCTATGAATTTTGCGAATGATTCGATTTGTTTGGAAGAATATTTTGTAAAACCATTATTCAAGTGAACTTGTTCATAAATCATTTGATAGATTTGTTTGTTTTCTTCTTTAGATAAAATCATTGATTGAATTGGAAATTTTCTAATAGATCGAGTAAATTCTTCGGTTGATCTAAGATTCGATTTTGTATTTCATGATCATTTTGATCGCGAAAATAGATTTGAAATTTGCTTTTTTGTTTGAATATGATGATGGAATAGCCATTTTTGACTTTGATTCGATCGGAATCATTGATCTTTCGTGTTACCAATAATATCCAACAAACATTCCAGTTGTAATGATTTTGAATTGAATCGAATTTAGGTTGATTATCTTTTGGGAGAAATAAAATCTCATCGAATCGCAATCGATCGTATAAAAATTTTAATTTTTGAAAAAAATCATCGACGTTCGATGTATTAATATCGTTGAGATAATGAATATTTGTATGTAGATCACAGGTTTCATATAACCGATGAAAAAGATTTTCACAACGTTCTTGATTTAAATGTAAATGATTGGAATCCGCTTTGATTTTTCGTTTTTGTCCTTGGAAAAAGAAATAGAATTTTTCTAAAAAGAGTTTCTTATGTGTTCTTAAATAATCATATTCGTATTCTTTGATGTTTGTCAAATAACAATGAAATTCAACGAGAAGAATCGGAGTTTCATCTTTGAGATTATCTTTTAAATATAAATGGTTAATCAGTTCTTCAACGGGATTTGGAGTTGATTGAGAATATATCTCGAAGATATCTTTTTGACGATTATTTTGAATATAATTCAATGATTGAATTTTCAAATCGAATTCGTTTTGTTTATGTTGAAAAAAGATTTAAATTTTCTCCAGACATTTTTGAAACTCATGAAATTGTTTTTCTTTGAGAACAAGAACGGGTTGTAAACGATTGAATAATGATGTTGAATAATTCAATTGAATTGAATTTAATATTCTTTTCATCGAATGAAATAAATGTCCATGATTGAAATCAGTTCGAATGAAAATGAGATTAATAAATAAAAAATAAAGAAATTTCTCGAATTTTTTCTTACAGAATAAATTTTCTTGATTAGAATTAATTATCGATGATAAAGAATGAAATATTCGAATGATTAATTCAAGATTTTTCTCTTTAGAATGAAGAAATTCATTGATTAATTCTTCAATTGGATGAATCTCGATGATTTGTTCTTCGTTAGATTGGTGGTAGATCGGCGAATATTGATTGAATTCGAATTGTTGGAATTTCGTTTTGTTTTGAGATGAAATCGTTCGAAGTTCATTGGGAAAATTCAATTCGGGTTGAGAATCGTCTGGTGAATAAATTCGTTCAATCAAATCATTGATGTCGACGATGTTTAAGTGAAATATTTCATCGAATATCATTAATTTCTTCTTGATGATTTCTTCATTTCCAAATTCTAAACAAAGATTATGAATAAATTCTTTGATATTGAATTGATTGAATTGATTTTTGATTTTTATGAACTTTTGTTTTTGTCGTTTGAGTTCGTTTAATTGTTGAAAATATTCATTCAATTGAAATGGCTTATGTTGTTGTGGAACTGAATCAGAGAAAAGACTACGAAAATTGTTGATTAATGAGAAAAAGTATTAATTGAACTGGGAATTCGAATTCGGTTCGTTCGCAATTAAATTCATCAGATTAAGTGAACTTGGATTTTGTTTTAAACTGAAAAGTGTACTACTAATATTGACGATATCGGTCTGGAAAAAAAGATTTCTGCCCGTGGATTTCAATGATTTAATTTGATTTGTTTTTCTATTGATATTTTCAGTTAATTGTATATGGAAATCTTCGATTTTCCTTTGATACTTATATTGTAAATCCGCAATGATATTCAGTTTTTTGAATTTAATCATTTCCTGTTCTGACTGATCGAATTTAATTTTGTTTAGAACTGATACTTGGTCATGTTTATCATCCGAATTCATTTCCGATGTTTTCAAAATTGTACTTTCCGTTTTGACTATATTTAATGCCAATGCTTGTTGAACTACTTGATAAGCATGATTCAACATCGAATCGGATAATTGTTGTGTTTTCATTTTCAATTGTCGTTCATCGAGAATATCGCTCATTTGATCTTTGAATAAATTCATTGCTTTGGAGATATTCTTCGATACTTCATTATGACGGTTGATTATTTCATTCGATTCGTTTTTCATTTGTTCTTCATTTGATTGATTTTTGTTTTCGCATTTGTTACGAATTCTACCCGAGTGTAATTGTATATCAGCTGATTTTCCAGCACCATTGTTGATTCCATCGGGTTTTCTCGATGGTCTATCACATGTGAAATAAAATTCAGCATACCAAAATATATTCTTATGACCTCTCCAATAGATAGATCCTCGAACTGTCTTAGGCCTTCCGAATACACGAGTTCTATAAAGAAGATAATCGTATCCATCACGGCCACCTGTACCACCTTTTCCACCTTCACCAGGTTGTCCATCTTGATCATGGATATTTTGTTTGGCAATTGATTCAATCAATGAAATGAACGTGTCAGTAATATTCGTTTGGTTTTCTTCAATATAAATCAGTCCAGCATGTCCACCAAGTCCAGCGAGACCAGCGTCACCACCAACACCACCATGCCCTCCTCGAGTGCCTCGTTCTCCCCGGGCTAGATAATAACGGGTTAAAACAGGAAAAATCGTTCCTTCAGCAGCATTAGCCCCAAAATTACCGCTTGTTCCATTTCCAGCATTGCCCCCAGTCCCCCCCGCGCCGCCCTCACAGCCTGACGTTATCAATTTATCTATATTTGATTTGCCATCGAACCTACTTTTAGCGATAGGATAAATATGTCCACTATTTTGTCCAGCTTCTCCATTTCCACCTGGTAAACCGTCGAGATCATCTTCACTTGTTCGCGTTGCATGTTGTCGATGCTGAGCATGTCGACCATCTTCACCTCGTCGACCACTAACATCTAGTGTGATCTCTTTTTCGGACACATCTCGAACGAAATAAACTGTATCCGAAGCAAAAATTAAATTGATTCCATGCCAACAATCGTGGTCTAATGAATGGTCGATGAAAATATTGGTTGCATAAAACTTTACTTCAAAACTTTCAAGTTTTTTTCTAAGTCATTGAACGAATCACTGAGGATAATATTATAGCTGTCGATAACTGCGATTTTCTCGTTGGTTTTTATTTTCGGTTTTGCTAAAATTTCTTCGATAACCAAGAAAATCTTATAAACAAGTTCGCTTTGATTTTCGTCTTTTAAATATTCATAAAATTGGCCTTGATCATCTGGATTATCGAATTCTAAATCAATGTTTAAACAATCTGTTGCAATTAACTTTTCAAGTTTTTCGACAAGATCAAAATTTGACGAAATGATTTCGTTGATCTTTCGTCTCATTGACTTCGAGCAGGATATATTTTCGTATTGACCTAAAGATTGTAGAATTTCTTCTTTCAATCGATTGAATAAAATCAAAAACTTTTGTTGACTTTGATTTAGTTCAATCAAATCATCGATAAGTTGTAATGCTGATTTATGTTTTCCTTCTTCCTCTCGTCGATGTTCTTCGATCGCTAAACGAAATAATTCTTTGAAATAATTCAAAGTATCTTGTAAATCAATATGATATTGAAAATCAGCGATTGATGACCAGAAATAGAAGCAATTTTCTTCGTAATCGTTTGTTTTCAAATAATAAACAACTTAGATAATAAGAGATACACAACCCTTTTCATCATGAAAATCGACTATTTTCTGTTTGAGACGTTTCGTCTTTATTCAAAAGACATCCTCAGTCAAATGTGACAGACGAAAGTTGGTTAAAATAGAAGATAAAATACAAATACAAATACACGTATGTAGAACGCAACAAATAAAATACAACTTTTCTTTTTTCACAATATATGACGACCGAATTATGCGTCGTCAAAATACGTTAAGTTCAAAGCTTTTTTGAGAATAAATTAGTCTTATCTTTTGATCAATATGAATGTTCATCAACAAGCTCTCTTTAATAGTTCTTCTTATAAGATGTGAGTCAACTGCAAGAATTTACGGGGTTCCAGTTAGTAAGATGACCTGTGTTTAAGCAATGAACCGCTATCCTGGAAAACCCTGTTCCAAAAAATGCATTCTGGTGTTCCTCTTTTCTTTTTATTACGCCTCTCGCTGTCTGTGCTATATAACTATTCATACATCCGTAGCAGTCATATTTGTAAACTACTCTCTTAAAATCACATGACACACGAAATGACCTACTAAATATAGATGATATTGTGTGTACAGCTTTAAAACCAAAATTCACCTTTTTCATTGGACTTTGCAGAAAATGTTTCAGTTTATTTGCCAAGACCAATGAAACAGTATTATAGTACGGAAATGAAATGTAATGGCATCTAATATTAGAAGGTTGACAGGGCTTCTGTATGTTCATCCAAAATGGAAAATCGATGACAAAAACCTACGTGAACTATTATTTTTGTACAAAAAAGACAAATTTCATATTTGATCATAAAAATTATGATCAAGTTAATGGTGTGTCCATGGGTAGTCCTCTTGCCCCTGTTATGGCGAACTTATTCATGAATGAAATCGAAAAAGAAATAGACAATTACAGGGGAAGAAAACCGGATCTTTACTTGAGATACGTTGATGACGTTTTTGCCATTATTCATGGTACCCAGAAAGACATTCATGGTTTATTGAAATTCATGAATAAACTTGACACACGTATTAAGTTTACAGTAGAAGTACAAAATCGGAATAAATTGTCATTTTTGGATGTAATGGTTGAACGATTCAATAATGATGAACTGATCACTTACGTATATAGAAAGGCCACTCACACAGGACTATGAATTATTTGAAAAAGAACTAAGTTACTATATACGAATCTTTAGGGCTAATGGATACCCGTCGAACATTTTGAAAAAGACAATACGAGGGATAAAAATGAATCAGAACATACAAAAGCCCTTTCAACCTTCTAATATTATGAAATTTGTTGGTAGAGCAGTTGGAAATAAGTATTTGT